GAGAGAATAGTGCAACAATGAATGAGTGGAAGCCCAAAATCTCTGTAAATGTTTATGAAAATTAATAAAATATAATTATAGGGAAAAAAAACAAAGTTTGAAAAATGGGTTAAGGAAGGCAAATACAGAATCTGCCTTTAGAGCTATCAATTCAGGAATTCTTTCAATTATGAAATCTTATAGAAGTTATTTTTCTTTCTCAAATCGTGGTGACGACAGTATTTCTTACTCCACATCTGGCATTTTTTCATCATCACTGTCTTGTGAGTCATCATCTGCTCCATCTACTTCTGGTAAATCTACATCCTCATCACCACCCATGTTGTTCATCATCTCAGAGAAACGGTCAAAATTTGACATATCTTCATCAGAATCATCCTCCCAGTCTTTCCAATTATTGAAGTCCACACTAAGCCAATTAAGCTTGGCTCTTTCTTTTGTTAACCTTGGCCATGACTGACCAGATTCACCTTTTCGTAAACAACATAAGATTGATCTGTCCATTCTTTTATGCTTAGAATCATTTGGATCAATACAATGAAAAAGATCAATTTCATTTAAATGTTTAAAATTATCACTTCCCCCAAGGCAACTGAAGGTAAGTTTTGATTTCTCAAAATTTACATTAACATCTTTACTGTCTTCAACACAAAATTCAAGAAAGACATAGTCCCTTCGATCGTACCATTTTGCAGAAGCAGGCTGCATTGTGAACGGGGCAGGGGGACGGGCGAACGGGTGGGCGGGCCTCTCCTGTGGCAGTTGCTCGGAGATTGATTCCTCTCGGGTGGCGACTCCTGAGGTTTTTCCTCCCCAGTTGCAGCCTCTTCTGGCTTTCCTCAGGCAATGGTGGCAGCTGCGGCAGACTCGGCCTGGGAGCCCAGAATGCACCGCACAGAGAGAGCAGCTCCCCTGGTCGGAGAGTGAAGGAAAGTGTAGGAAAAGGGGCGCGAGGACAGAGAATGAACGTGCGTGCGTGCGAGCGAGGGGTGGTAAGAGAATATATGTTTTTATGGGAGCTGATTGACATATTCTTCTCCCAGGAAACAAGTGGTATTTCAAACTGCCAGACTTTCAGTTAGAAGTCCAATACTTAACCCACTTTATCAGTAGGATTCATAACACAACTTCTGTTGTTGTTGTTGTTATGTGCTGTTTGGTTTGTGGGGGTGTCACAGTTGTTTGGCAGGATCACATGGGACCCCTTAAGCTCAATCAGAAGGGAATAAGACAGCTGGAGCTCATTCTTGAAGGGAAAACCAAGTATTCCTGGTTTTCTAATCAGGTCACTGTGCTCTGCCTTCCTTCTCCTCATAGCCAGTCCATCAACTGCCTTTAGCCCAGAGCACCTTGGGCCACCCTAGCTGTGGCAGTTGTCTGACAGAGGAGGTTGCTTCCACAGGCCTCTTCTCTATAAAACTGAGAGAAACTCAGACAGGGTAGCTGTCCCACCCTCTTTTGGTTTGGTGACTTCAGATTTAGAACCTGCTATTGCCTTAGACATGAAAAACTCTACCACAGCAATGTCATGTAGGAAACAGGCTACCTCACCCCCTACACAAGCCCAAAGCAAGATGTTACCCCCAGAAGTGACCAAGTATCAATGGATTTCCTGAAGCCAGAAAGTCTGATGAAACTTTCTGACACAGAATTTAAAAGAACAACGATTGAATATTTTCAATGGGTGAAAGACAAACTTTAATAATTACACGATACTGCAAACAAAAACCAGGAGGAGCTTAGAAAAACAATTCAAAAACAATACAGATAAAGCAAACAAGTCATTAGAGGCACTGGAAAAATCAAGAAACCACAAACCAAAATATGAGGACCAATGTTTCAGATGTTGTCAACATACATCATGATGGAGGGTCACATGAACAAGGTCGAAGAGACTGAACACAGAACCAGTGAGATAAACGATAGAATTGTTACCACTAATCTGCTAGAACAAAAAGCAGAATCAAAAAGGAAGGAAAAATAAGAAAACCTAAGAACAATGTGGGACACCATCAAGAGAAATAACATGCACATCATCAGAATCCCAGAACAGGAAGAAGTAAGTAAAAGCACTGAAATAGTTGTGGAAGAATTACTAGAGGAAAATTTCCCAGGCATAATGAAGAATGAGAGAATATATATACAAGAAGCTGAGTGAACACCATATAGAATAGACCCCAAAAGAAAAACAAGTCATATCATAGTCAAATTTGCCAGGACCAATGATAAGGAGAGAATTCTTAAATCAGTGAGGGAGAAACAAAGAGTAATCTATAAGGGAGAGCAAATAAGATTAACTGTTGACTTCTCAGCAGAAGTCACGTGAGCAAGAAGACAATGGAATGACATATATTGAACTCTGAAAGAATACAACTTTCAACCAAGAACACGGAACCCAGCAAAATTGTCCACCAAATATGAAGGAGAGATCAAGATATTCCCAGAAAAACAGAACCAAAGGGAGTTTGTAACAACAAGACCAGCATTGCAGGAAACACTGAGGGATGTCCTTCTAACACAAGTGCCACAGAAAGCAGGATGGACTAAAGTAAATAGAAACAACACCAAAAAGAACTCAACAAAATGATAGCAACAAAAACTTGCCTCTCAATAACCGCACTGAATGTAAATGGTTTAAATGCATCACTGAAGAGAAAAAGGGTAGCAGACTGGATAAAATAAAAACCAAACCACCCCCAAATCCATCAATATGCTGTCTACAAGAGACATACTGAAAAATGAGATAAAGTAAGACTAAAAAAAAAAGGATGGGGGAAACATACCAACCAAATGGCAACCAGAAAAGAGCAGGAGTAGCGATATTAATATCTTTATATTAAAATAAATTTCAATGCAAAAAACCAACACAGCAGACAAAGAAAGAAACTACATAATGCTTAAAGGGTCAATAGAACAAGAGGACATAACAATAATTTCAATGCAAAAACCATCATAAATGACATAATGATTAAGGGGTCAACAGAATGACTGAACAAGAAGATATAACAATAATAAATATCAATGCACCAAATGAAAAACCTGCAACGTATATAAAACAAACATTAACAAACCTGAAAAAGAAATAGACAACACTACTATAGTAGTTGGAGACTTCTATACATCCCTTTCAAAAAGAAATAGAACTACCAGTAAGAAATTCAACAAAGATGCTGAAGAATTAAACCACACAATAAACCAATTCGACCTCACAGATATTTATAGATTAATGGACCCCCAAAAAGCACAGTATATCTTCTACTCCAATGTGCATGGAACATTCTCCAGAATAGATCACATCTTAGGTTACAAAGCAAGCATCAATAAATTTAAAAACACAGACATAATACAAAGCATCCTCTCAGACCACAATGCTACAAAATTAGAAATTAATAACAAGACAGTAAAGGAGAAAAAAAACATACATTAGGGAGCTGAACAACACCTTGCTTGAACATGAGTGGGTATTAGAAGAAATAAAAAATGAAATGAAAAAGTTTCTTGAAACAAATTACAATGAAAACAGCACTTACCAAAACCTCTGGGACATAGCCAAAGCAGTAAACAGAGGTCAATTTATAACAATAAGCAAACACATCAAAAGACAGGAAAAACAGACTATTGACTCTCTAACCCAATATCTCCAGCAAATTGAAAAAGAACAGCAAGAAAACCCGACACCCTTTAAAAAAACCTAAATTATAAAAATTAGAGCAGAAATAAAGGAAATAGAAAACAGAAAAACAATTGAAACCATCAACAAAACTAGGAGTTGGTTCTTTGAAAAGGTAAAAAAAAAAAATCAACAGACCTCTAGCAAAACTAACAAAGAAAAAGAAAGAAAAGACACAAATAATCTAAATAAGAGATGAAATGGGTATTGTCACAACAGAACCAACTAAAATAAAAAGGCTAACATTGGAATATTATGAAAAATTATACCCAAACAAATACGAAAACCTAGAGGAAATGGACAAATACTTAGAAATTCACAACTAAACTGACACAAACCGAAATTGAACACCTGAACAGATCCATTACAAAAGAAGAAATTGAAAACGTAATAAAACAACTTCCAGGCAAAAAAAGTCCTCGACCAGGAATTTTTTCAAGTGAATTTTATCAAACATTCAGAGGAGATCTCTCACCAATTCTATATAAACTTTTTCAGAAAACAGAAAAAGATGGCAGTCTCCCAGACTCATTCTATGAAGCAAACATATAGTTGACACCAAAGCCAGGTAAAGACACCACCAAAATAGAAAACTATAGGCCAATATCTCTCATGAACATAGAAGCAAAAATCCCGAATAAAATTCTGGCCAAAAGAATTCAATGATACATTAAAAATATAATTCACCATGACCAAGTGGGATTCATAAGAGGTATGCAAGGATGATTCAACATAAAATACCCCCAATCAATGTCATTCAAAACATTAAATAAACAAAGAACAAGAACCACATGATCCTATCAATTGATGCAGAAAAGGCCTTTGACAAAATCCAACACCCTTTCCTGATTAAAACATGCAACAAAATAGAATTAGAGGGAAATTTCTTCAACATAATAAAAAGTATATATGCAAACCCGAGAGTCAACATTGTTCTCAATGGAGAGAAGTTAAAGTCATTCCCCTTGAGAAAAGGAAATAGGCAAGGATGCCCGCTATCACCTCTCCTATTCAATATTGTATTGGAAGTCTTAGCGATAGCAATAAGGCAAGAGAAGGAAATAAGAAGTATCCAAATTGGCAAAGAGGAGGTAAAATTATCTCTCTATGCAGATGATATGATAGTATACTTAGAAAACCCTTAAAGACTCAGCAAGACAACTACTGGACATAGTTGATCAATTCAGCAAAGTGACAGGACACAAGAACAACATATCAAAAACAACTGATTTCTCTACGGTGACAAAGAGAATACAGAATTGGAGCTAAGAAAAACAATACCCTTCACAATAGTGAATCACAAGATTAAATACTTGGGAGTAAACCTAACCAGAAGCACAAAGGATCTATTCAAAGAAAATTACAAAACAACACTACAAGAAACAAAAAGATACCTGGAGAAGTGGAAGAATATTCTTTGCTCATGGATAGGAAGATTCAGTATTGTGAAAATGACAATACAAGCAAAGGCAATTTACACATTCAATGCAATCCCAATACAAACACCAATTCCATTCTTCAATGAGATGGAAAAGCACTCTCCAATTACATTTGGAATGGAAAGAGGCTCCGAATAAGCAAAGCACTCCTTAAAAAGAAAAACAAGGGGGTAAGACTGAGAAAAACTGGATGAAATATGTTTACGGCATTGAAGTCTATGGGGGAGAGAATAGTCTAA